CAGGGCCGGCTGCTGCTGCGAGCGGTGTGTGAGAGGGGCTGAGTTGGAGTGCAGCGCTGGTGGTGTAACGAAGCTTTGGTCAGGCACTGGGAGAGGAGCCTGGCTTAAAAAAAATCTGTGCTTGGGCTGCAGTCAGGTTCCTTGCACTTAAGTGTGGCTCTGAAGTCATGCCCTGCTGTCAGGTCATAGATGTGTAAGAGCGGTAGCATTAAGATTATTGCAGAGCCGTTAAGTTTTTTGATGTCTCTAAATCTAGATGGTCACCAGGACAGAGGGTCAAATTGATGACTCTCTAATTGGTGGCAATGCCTCTGCTGAAGGTCCTGAGGGAGATGGAACAGAAGCCACGGTCATAACTGGTGTTGATATAGTAATAAACCACCACCTTCAGGAAACCAGCTTTACAAAAGAATCCTACAAGAAGTACATCAAGGACTACATGAAAGCGTAAGTGTTGGTAGACTTTTTCTTTCGGTGGGATTGCAAAATTTTTAGGTTGCTGTGATTTTAAAAACAGTGTTGAACTTTATTCCTAGGAGGTGTTAGTTTTGATAACAGGTGCCAAACTGGCAGTGAACTTCAATAATGTCTTAATACTTGGCAGAAATGGAGCTCTAAAGAATTGATACTGGAATATCCAAGTTTATCTTGGCTAAGGTGGAGGACCTGATCATGTGCTTTGGATATTATTTGTAACCTTGTTTTCTTTTGGATTCCTTGGTGCCAAACTTTCATGTGTAAGAGGCTGAGGTGGTGAAGAAAAGCTTCCTGGAGCTTTTCTAACTTGACAATTTAAATGTCCAAAATACTGTGTGTGAATGGAACTTTTTTGTAATTCAAGGTATAATTTCTGTTGCTTACGTTTCAGTGGGTTAGTATTAAAGGTGAAAACGCTTTGTGATACTGATATATAGTACTCTGTGCTGTGGAAATGGCCTGCTAATTTTTGTTTACCGTTAGCCTAGAAGTAAAATGAGCTTGATAAGAGTGGCAGGGACTGTTCTGCTAATTCACTAGCAAAATTCAGTTAAAATCTGGGGGCTTTGAGTGAGGGGGGGGAAGGGCAGCAAAATGAAACAGTTTAACTGCTAGTAACTTTTTTGCTATGATGTGACACTGCACAGTGAAGTTGTTAAGCTAGAACATGTTTTCAGAGGTTTTTTTTTTTGCTTCCAGAATCAAAGCCAGACTTGAGGAACACAAGCCAGAGAGAGTAAAGCCTTTCATGACAGGGGCTGCAGAACAAATCAAACACATCCTTGCTAACTTCAAAAACTACCAGGTAATGAAACTTACATCTCCTTACAGCAGTATTGCAGTGATACAAGCTGTGATTGGTTCATCTGGTGAACTAGTTTGAAAGTTTTAAGGGCTCCTGTTGTGAGGACATCTAACTTGCCCTTCTCTGAGAGTTACTAGGGGCTCTGAGATTCAGGGAGGAGAAACAGCGAAAGACTTAGGTGTTTGGGTGTTGCTCGGTTTGGGTGGTGCCAGTTGCTCTGTATGATCGTAAAAATGATCAGCATCCTCTGATAGACCATGAGCACTTTTCCTGTTGCTCTCTGGTTTGCACTAAGATGCAAAAATAACTTCCTTGCGCTTTCTGCCTGCCTGACTGTGGCAGCTCAGATTGAATTAGGGAATACACAAAGAAGTTATAGAAACTTAACCGTGACTGTCGTGACCTTGAACTACAGCTTGCAGTGCTTGTAGTAAGCATTGTACATCTGTAGTTACTATCATTTAGGAACTATGGAGTTAAAGACTTGAAAGATAGATCACTTTGGCCCCTGCTGTGTCTTACTCTGCTCTTCATAGCAGTGTGGTAAAGTTATGTGGTACTAAAATGGACAAGCTGCAGAAAGCAAAATTCCTGCAGCTGGTCAGGGAGACTTTTAAACTGAACTTGGAG